TCATAGGACCAAGGGAGCCGCTGGGGCTGGAGCTGCAGCGATGGCTGACGGCGGTTCTTCCTCCTCCCTGTTCCAGGACCTCCTGGACAAAGGGCCAACCGAGTGCCAGCAAAGGGGAATGAGTTGAGACTGGTGGGCTCTGGAAACTGGTCAGAGACTGGAGATATGAAGACGGTGGCCAACCGGATGGAGGGACAATCAGTCTGAGGAGGTGAGGGCCTGGGAGCCACCTCAGGATAAAAAGAAAAGGGGGAAAACATCTGTGCTTTTAGCTGCAGGTAAATGTCCTGGGCTTCCACTGGGCTAAGGTAGGTCTCTGTGATCTGAGACCGGGGCTGTTTCAGTCTGTGGCTGGTGAATGGGGATGAGGGATGACTAGCACCTGAGTTTGCTGAGTCCATGTTTGGCCAGAGCATTCCGTTATGGTTGAGTCCCCTCACCAGGGGGTGAGGAAGAACAAGAGGTAGGACTCAGGATGCAGACCCAGGTGCTAGTAAAAAAAGGTGATTTATTGGAGAAAAGCAAACAAAGTATTGAGTATATGCATATAGGTCCTGAGCACTCTGGAGAAGGTTTTCATCCAGGATATCCCTGTACTTGGCTGCATTCATCCTAAATTTAAGGGGGTCTGAATACTTTCCGTAGCCGGAGGTGTAGAAAAAGGGATCAACCGCACAGAAACTGTCAGCATTGAAACCAGGTGAACCAATATACATATATACATACGAAAACAACCGCACAGAAACTGTCAGCGTTGGCATCGTGTATACGTGATCAAAATACATTAATACTCTGGCAGCGACAGAGCATCTGCCAGGGGTTTAAATAAGAAAGGGAAGTCATTAGTGGAATGAGCGTCAGCTGTGTGCTGCACCCGGGAGTCAATTATCAGGTGAGGTGTCTCAGCAGTGTCACTGAGCACGCGGAATGAGAGAGAGGGGAGAAAAAGAGGGAAGTGAGGCAGGTCACAGCAAATGGACCTGACAATCACAGACCCACTGCTGGACTCCCTGCAGTTTGCCTGCCGGGCAAACAGGTCAGTGGATAACACAGACTTCAGCTCAATGTTCAACACCATCATCCTGGACACCCTCCACTCCAAAATGACCCGCATCACTCTGCCTGCACACCAGTGGATCACCAGCCTTCTGACAGACAGGAAGCAGCTTCTGGCACCTGGACTCAGGAATGTGTGCTCTGCCCCTTGCTCTTCAACCTCTACACCAATGACTGCACCTCAGGGGACCCCCTGTTACACTCTTGAAGTTCGCAGATGACACAGTGGTCATCGGTCTCATCCAAGATAGTGACAAGTCTGCCTGCAGATGGGAGGTTAAGCAGCTGACCCTGTGGTGCAGTCGCAACAACCTGGAGCTCAACACACTCAAAACAGTGGGGATGACAGTGAACTTTAGGAAGAGCCCCCAGAGGTACAGCAGAGGTTGTACTTCCTGTGCCAGCTCCTCCCCTCTGGATGGCGCTACAGGTCACGGTATGCCAAAACAACCAGAGACAAGGACAGTTTCTTCCCCTCTGCCATCACACTTAACCCATGCTGTATGACTGGACACAACAATCACCACAATGCAATAAACTCTAAATATAACCATTATATATATATCAATTTGGAACCTTTTCTGTCTAAAGTGTTTGTGTGTGTATGTATATATATATAAATCATGTCTCTTTTTTTTCCTATTCTTTCTTGTACTGATTGCACATTTTTCCTATTTGAATAAACAGTTTTATTGAATTTTAACTTTTTATTTATTGTTGCCCTACAAAACACATTGAGGACCTCTATACTGGTGTCAAATTCCTTCTGTGTCTAATCATGCTTGGCCAGTAAAGATTCTGACAGTAAAGCTTGATTTGTGGTTCTGTAGGCTACATAAGTGGCCTACGCCATTGTGAGAATTTTTACTTTACTGCGCTGGTGTATCCCTGTTGCCCTGCAATTACACTCAACAAAATGCTAGCTGGAGGTGATGTGTCTATGCTACTGTGTTTTGTTTCTTCACTACTCACAATGCCAACTGAAACTGAGAGGGTGATGTTGGAGTTAAAATGAACAGATGTTGAACTTTTACTGACTTTAACACAGAACCAGAAATCAAGCTTAAGCTTTGGGGGGGGTTAATAGGCGGAGGTGCACTAAGTAAGCACGCCTGATGCTAAATGAACAGGGAAAGGACAGAGGGGCTGGAGCCAGCTGAAATTTAACAGACTTGCCTAAAGGAGAGACTAGCTGGGAGCTGAAAAAATTCTGACAAAGTGACCTTCCATACCTATAATTGTAGTGTGAAATTCCTCTTTCAGTCATCTAAATTTGGGAAACCACCTACAGCAGGAGTGGTCCTTAAGCTTAACACCATGCTCTACCAAATCATCTGACTCTGACAGCGAGGAAACCCTCTTATGCTGAGTGTATACCCTCCCAAACTGAGGAACCATATGAGGGAACCATGTCTGACTAGTTCATACTGTTATGTTTTAACTAAAGGACCCAAATGCAGATGGCAAACACAGACACAAGGCTAGCTTATGGAACAAGTGTTTTATTAAAGAATAGCCTGTGTAATACAGGTAAAAAGGAAAGCTGAGAACTACAAGCAAACAAATCAGAATCAGAATGAAAACAGTTTTTAATTGCCAAGTATGTTTGAACATACTGGAATTTGACTCCAGTACAGAGGCTGTGTTGTAAGGCAACAAGAATAGAAAATAACAATAAGAATAAAAATAAAAGGGTGAGCAATAAAAAATGAAAATAAGAATAAACAGTGTAGCCATTCAAATAAGAAATATGTGCAATCAAAAACAGGAAAGGGAATGAGATGAAAAGAGAGCTTTTATAAATCTGTTTATATACAATACGACAGAAGAGCTTTAAGGCTGATGATCAACAATGATCATATTTACAATTTATTGCACTGTGATGATTGCTGTGTACAGTACTAGTGTTCATCAGAGTGATGGCCTGGGGTAAGGAAACTGTCCTTGTGTCTGTTTTGGTGTACAGTGACCTGTAGCACTGTCTAGATGGGAGGAGTTCAAACTGTTTGTGTCCAGGGTGTGAGGGGTCTGCAGAAATCTTCTCCGCCCTTCTTTTGACCTGTGAGGTGTACAGGACCTCCATGGGCCTTCCTAAAGTCCATTGCCATCTCCACTGTTTTGAATGTGTTCAGCTCTAGGTTGTTGTTCTGGCTCTGTTAGTCCTTCACACTATATGATAGTTTTTAAAACTGCTCAGATATTTGATCAATTGTATTAAACACAAAAGAACACATTCCTACTTCCTGTGTCAGTATCACAGTTGTCTGGCTTGTCTGTGCTTCTGTGTTTGTCATCCTCTAGGGAGGCATGATTGACAGGATTGAGAGTAACATGGACCAGTCAGTGGGCTTTGTAGAGAGGGCGGTGGCTGACACCAAGAAAGCATCCAAATTCCTGCAGGAGGCACGCAGGGTAAGTTTATGCAACAGTACCATGGATGTAATGATGTTTTGAAATATTACGTTAAAACAGTCTCAAACAGAAACATTTAGTTCACTCTGATTATTCACTGGTGCTATAGAGTGATGCCTTTTTACCTCAGCAGACAGCATGCTGTGTGTTTGTCCACTGGCTGCAGCGAGGTCACAAACCCAAGAGCAGTGACTTTCATTTTGTCCTGTCATCATGGAGTTAACGTCCTTTGCAACAGCTGGTATGACGCTGTTGGTTGTCATTTTAACGAGAAACTGTGATGATCAGCAGAAGCTGCCTCCTGAAAGAATTCCACACTAAGCTTTGCAAGATTGTGTGCACCAATATCACTGCTGTACTGCAGGTGGGGGGTTAAATCACTTACTGGCAAATCACCACCGTGGCCTCTATCAGCCGTCAAGTGATGGACGATAGGTAAAGTGTGAATCAGTGTGCAACGGCAGGACGATGCAGGAGTTGTCTGCCAATTCAATTCAAATTTTATTTGTATACCGTAATTTCCAGACTATTGAGCGCACCTGAATATAAGTCGCACACACTAACTTTAAAATGAGAAAACAGTTTCTACATAGCCGCAGGTGTCCATGTTGTAACATGAGATATTTCGACAGCCAGATCGATTGCCTTTAACTTGAAAGCTGCATCATAAGCATTTCAAATAATAAGTCTCTTAGTGTCCTGGCAGTAAGCGTATTCACTTCAATTCAATTCAGTTTTATTTGTATAGCGCCAAATCACAACAAAAGTCATCTCAGGACATGTTACAAAAGTAAGGTCTAGACCTTAATATTATTATTATTATTATTATTATTATTATAGAGGAAAAACCCAACAAATCCCTCTTGAGCAAGCACTTGGCGACAGTGGGGAGGAAAAACTCCCTTTAATGGAAGAAACCGCCAACAAAGCCTGGCTCTTGGTGGGCAGCCTTCTGCCTTTACCAGTTAGGGTGAGTGGTTAAAGGAGAGAGAAAAGAAAGAAAAGCAACAACAAACATTCAAACACTGGGCAGGTTGATCTGGCCATTGAGCGCTCATCAGAAATGTACAGGGAGAGAGAGATGACACACTACGGGAGAGAGGAGACACACAGTTAGTGACATGTAATGGTGGCATATAGATGCATGGCGAGAGAGGAGAAGAGAGGAGAAGAGAAAAACATCTGAGCATCATGGGGGCCCCCCAGCAGTCTAGGCCTATAGCATCATAACTAAGGGAAGGCTCAGGGTCACCTGTAGTAGCCCTAACTATAAGCTTTAGCAAAAAGGAAAGTCTTAAGTCTAATCTTAAAGGTAGAGAGAGTGTATGCCTCCCAAACCGAGACCAGGAGCTGGTTCCATAGGAGAAGAGCTTGATAGCTAAAGGCTCTGCATCCGATTCTACTTCTGTGGACTCTAGGAACCACAAGTAGACCTGCACTCTGAGAGCGAAGTGCTCTGTTGGGATGACAAGGCACTATAAGGTCTTTAAAATACGATAGAGCCTTGTCATTAAGGGCTTTGTATGTTGGGAGAAGGATTTTAAATCCTATTCTGGATTTTACAGGGAGCCAGTGGAGAGAAGCTAATATGGGAGAAATATGATCTCTCTTGCTAGTTCCTGTCAGTACTCTGGCTGTAGCATTTTGGATTAACTGGAGGCTTTTTATGGAATTATTAGGACATTCTGATAGTAAAGAGTTACAGCAGTCCAGCCTGGAAGTAACAAATGCATGGGCCACTATTTCAGCATCAGTTTGAGAGAGGATGCTCCTGATTTTTGCAATATTATGCAAGTAAAAAAAGGTAGTTCTAGAGACTTGGTTTATGTGTGATTTAAAGGACATACAGTATTCTGGCCATAAATTATTCCATGGTTCCGCACAGTACTACTGGAGGCCCAAGCTATGTCATCTAGAGTAACTATATGGTTAGATAGCAGATTTCTAAGGTTTTCAGGCCTAAGTACAATAACTTCCGTTTTGTTAGAGTTTAGAAGTAAGAAATTACCAGTCATCCAGGCCTTTGCAATTTTTGTGCTATGATGGGCTCTAAAACCAGACTGAAAATCCTCAAACAAATCATTTTTGTGCAAGTTGTCACATAACTACTTTGCAACAGCTTTTTCAAGAATTTTAGAAATAAATGGGAGATTGGATATTGGTTTATAATTAGCTAGAACACCTGGGTCAAGAATAGGCTTTTTGAATAGAGGTTTAATTACAGCAACCTTAAAAACCTGTGGAACATAGCCTGTTAATACAGAGAGGTTGATCAGATCTAATATGGATGTGTTGATTAGGGGCAAGACATCTTTGAGCATCCTGGTCAGGATGGGGTCTAAGAGACATGATCATGATTTAGGTGAAGCAACTGTTGCAGGCAACTCGGAGAGATCTATGGGAGAGAAGCAGTCTAAGTATAAATGAGGTCTAACTTGTGATTCTAAAGCCATTGCAGTTGATGGCACATCTGTGAGAGTTGTGGGAATGATTTGATTAATTATTTCTCTAATAGTTGTTATTTTATTTGTAAAGAAGCTCATGAAGTCATTACTGCTGAGATCTAAAGGAATATTAAGCTCAACAGCACTGTGGCTCTTTGTCAGCCTGGCTACAGTGCTGAAAAGAAACCTGCGGTTGTTCTTATTTTCCTCTATCAGTGATGAATAATATGCAGTTTTGGCACTACGAAGGGTTTTTTTATATGTTATTAAGATATTTTTCCACGCTAAAAAAAACTCTTCTCACATAATGGAGCACCACCACCTTTCCGGTTTTTGTGATGCCTGTTTTAGGGAGCAGAGCTGCAAGCTGTACCACGGGGCAAACCTCCTCTGTTTCACTGGCTTTTCTTTCAGATGGGCAACAGTATCAAGTGTGCAGGGAAGCTGCAGTACTATCAACAAGATTGTCAATTCTGCCCTAAGCACATCAAGAGTGCCCTGTAGTCGAGCCTGCTCCCCCTTTAATTCTGTTTTTTTTTCTAGCTTGAGTCACTTCAGTTTTTGTTCTGACCTTTTGAGCTTCTATGTTGGCCTTTGAACTGTCAGATGACTGTCACATTCACCAGCCATTGTTCATAAAACACAATTGTGAGGTTTTCATAAAGATACTGGCATTCACCAGTGTTTTCTTTTCTTGGATTTGTTCTTATGTAAGAACAAAATCTAGGCACACTCAAGAGCACACTTATGCATATTTGAGAGCTGACGTGTGTGAAATAACTGGTTTAGTTTTCTTCGGTTCTACAGTTATATAATATTATAAGATTTAAGTTACTGTAACAGTTTTGTCATTATTAGTATTTATTTAGTCCATTTTCCCCATGATTTTACAAAGCATTATGGTCTTTTAAAATGAATATACACTACACTAAAAATTACAGCAAGCTAATAATTGCTTGTTGCTACATCAGCGGTTTAAAATCAAATGTTTACAGTGTGATTATTTGTAGTTTAGAATTAGGAAATGCATAACCAAACATGTTTAATTTCTGTTAAAAGTGTCTCTCAGATATTTTTGCCAGTGTGTAAATTTCTGGTTGTTCAGCACTGCATCTGAGATCAAACTTAGGGCATTTAAAGGGACCTGGGTGAACACATGGGGTGGGGTATGCTCAGCTGACGGCCCACCCAAGAGTTCCCTGTATGACCCTGATGCACTAGTGGTCCAGCTCAGATAACTCTGGGCCAGCCTATCCTCCTCCGCTGGTTAGTGTCTCTATTCCATGTTTGTTTTTGGCCTCAGACTTGAGATCAGACCATCTTTTTAATTCATCAGCTAGGCACCCATCCCCTTATACAGTGTTTGCTGAATGAGTCAGAGCATCCCATGCCTCTTTTTTGTTTTATTTGATATCCACTGCTGATGCTACTAAATATGGCAGCTTATTTGCTGTTCTCCACTTCATAAATAAGTTTTTCTTTGTTTTGGAGTTTGTTGCTCCACTTTTATGAATGTGCATGGCTCCACTTAAGCCGGGCACAGGCGTGCTTTCATCATCAGATCATTATGTTCGCTCCTGAACAGATCCAGGCTCTCCATTGCAAGTTTGTGCAAACCTTCTTCCCATAAGCCAGCTTCCTGCTTTGTTGCTCCAGTCAGAACCTGCCTAGCGCTGCTTTGCATCTGCTTTCCCTCTCCAGCAACCTGCCATTCAGCACCCACCTCGCCTCTTATACCAGGACTCGTCGTTCACCTGTTCCATCTCCCCTGACTCAACTAGCTCCCTGTTTCTGCGCCCTCCAGTCTGTACTCTCTCTGTGAGTCCTCATCTCACCTTCACTAACCTGCATCCCCTGGTAGCAACACTCTGTATCCATTCCTCCTTCCTCCCCTGTTGTCTTGGTTCTTCCCAATGGACTCTGGAGCCTTCCCTCCTCTAGCACCACAGCCAGGTCACAACCTTAGCCACCCAACCAACCCTATCCCCATTACTGGTGAGACCTGCTGTGTCTGTATACTGCTTTGCCAGGACCTGGTCGCACCAGCCCTGTGCTTCGAATCTAAGTGCTGCACATTGGGTCTTCTGTCTCCAGGCTGTTGGCCTTAACATTTTTGTTGTATTCCTGGCTTTCTCAACTTCTCTTTCCTGTTTCTGTGTGATATTCATGTGTGCATATGGTCCTGCAGTCACATGCCCTTTTATGGGCATTGGTGGGGTGTTAACCTATGCTAATTAGGAATGACTGGCCTATGAACACATGGGATTCATCGATATAAGAACAAAGATGCAAACAATTCTGCGGTTTATGAATCAGATTTTTCTTTAGACATTTCTTAAGAGCAACTTACAGACAAATTTAAGGAAACACTGAGGAAGAGGATAAATGTGGCTGAATGCCTCTTCAGTTACTTTAGGATTACTTTCAGCCATTCAGAATGTAATGAGTTTGATGTAAAAAAAAAAAGTTAAGTTAGCAGGGAAGCTATCTGTGTGATCACTTGCTGTTCACTTACTGTAGCTCTTAAGGTGGTGGGTTAGGGTTAGGTTGAGGTAGTGTATGTCCACGTGGGAGCTTCCAGTTCTTCACTGCTTGCTGTAATACCATCTTTTCACTGTAATGACCTAGTTGAGTGCAGCTAGGTATCCAACAGCTAAACACAGCTCCGGGAACTCCACAGGCACATATATGAGTTTCATGAAGTTTACTGATGGCAAGTATAAAACTGGAAAAAACACCTTTATCTCATTGCATTTTGTTAAGTATTACAACCAAATGAAATAGTAAATATGCTGCATAAAACGGCTGGGGTTACAGATACGTAGATATTGAGTATAGAGTGAGTTAGCTTAGTCACAAATGCTACTCATTATGTAAAGATAAACCTCAATGCAGTTATCAAAAATATCCTACTCACTATATTTGGGTTTTAACAGAATCTTACAGATGTTGCTCTTAACAAGAAGACAAGACAAGAAAACATGAAGTTGAGTAATGCTGCCTCACTGCTCACAAACAACATACTGTTTCACTTTCTGGTTATTTCTTCTGATACTGTTTAATACATGCAATAAGTGAACTAAACTAACAGTTGCATTTATCCTAAATAACAGAACAAGTACAATTTGAGTAGGCGAGACCACAAGGGTCCTATTGATCACTCAATACTCTGTGTTATATAAATTCATGTCTTATTATAATTGTTCTGATGTCAGTGGGTTGCTTGCCTAAGAAGAATGCGCCCATGTGGACTTTGTTTATTGATCCTGTTTATTGTAAATTGTAAAGGATAAGGATAATCACCTTTATCGGCCAAGTATGTTACACATAAGGAATTTGTTTCTGGTACAGAACTGAGGCAGCCATCTGTGGCGCCAAAGTTTATCTTGTTTACTTTGAATAAACCTGAGAACAAAGCTGCAGCCAAGTAGGTCTGAGATTACAAACAAGATGCCTATGAGACTTTCAATGAACAAACAGATTATGTGAAACTGCCAACAAAATTATTCGCCAAACCTTTTAATCCATGTACAGAGAACACTGGACTTAGTATTGCATCCATTCAAACAAACATGTAACAACTACAAACCCATGACTGATATTCACCTGCTGGATGAAGGTTAGTAGTTGAAATTGCAGAGCTACTCTTAATGTATGTGTAGGAGACCAGTTTAAATATTGCATTTTGTTGGCTTTTATAGAATTACTGTACCCACATTAAGGGCAGCATGGTGGCGCGGTGGTTAGCACCGTTGCCTCACAGCGAGAAGGTTCCGGGTTCGGGCCCCAACCGGGACCTTTCTGTGTGGAGTTTACATGTTCTCCCCGTGCTTGCGTGGGTTCTCTCTGGGTACTCCAGCTTCCTCCCACAGTCCAAAGACATGCAGCTTAGGTTGATTGGTGTCTCTAAATTGCCCATAGGAGTGCGTGTGTGGTTGTTCGTCTATGTGTTAACCCTGCGATGGATTGGCAACCTGTCCAGGGTGTACCCCGCCTTCGCCCGATTGCTGGCCGGGATTGGCTCCGGGCCCCCCGTGACCCCATTCAGGGACTAAGCGGTAGAAAATGAATGAATGTACCCACATTTACAAATTGGGAGGGGTTTAGGGCAGGAATTACTGCTCAAGTTTGGGTGCATTGTGCTTTTATGTTCTTGTTTTAGACCCACCTCTCTCCTACTGTGGTCAGTTGTTTCTCAGTCCATCCATAGGCTTTTTTTGGCCATACCTTGTGCTTGTATATGGAGCATACCGGAAGTAAACACAAAACAGTAAAATATCTCATTGTTTTCAGTGTGATCATTGTTTTGACCCACTGCCACTGTGGTGAGAAACCAACTTTGTTCAGTATGTTCATTTAGGGATTTTACCCAAAATGTGATTTTTTTTTTTTTTTTTTATTAATGGAAATCTGTTAGCGATTGGATGGTGCAGCTGATCAGACTGATCTAACACTACACCAAAATAACAACAACAGCAACAGTTTTATACTGAGGGGGACAAATAACAGAATCAGATTCAATCTCAAGCTAGATTGTTAGTAATTAGGTTTAGATTATACTTTTATCAAATTTACCATTTAGTTAAAAGAAGATGATCTGTCTTAACTGTAGGATGCACTTGCAAGAGAACCATTCACAACTTTCCTCATTCATTATAACGATTGTTCTCTTGAAGATCCACTATTATTTCCTCTTTGAATCTGTATTGTGAATCATATTCATGGAAAGGAAGAAAGTCTAGTGTGTGTCAGAAATAAATAAATGTCTTTGTTGTCATCTCCATACAATAAAAATCCCTGGGTTTCAGTTAGAAATATAGCTGGTCTCAAACATTTAAAAATAATTCCTGCAAAACATTATAAACATATAAAACATTACCTTGTTTCCTCTTTTCTCACATATTTTTCTACATCTCTCCTTGCTTCTTCAAAAGGAAAGACTGAAATGCAAGAAAAAGATGTAAGAGAGGAAAATTTTGATAGAGAAACTCTACATTAATACAGGGAACTGAGATGTACCCACCGTGCTGTTCACACTTGGTTTTGTGTAGGAGGAAGTCACTTGATAAATGTGTCTTATTGATCACACTCAGTCAACAACTGTTTTACTCTGAAGCTGGTACTTTAGATACTTTTGTATTATCATTTCAATAAATTTGAAAAATGCAGGCCTTGATGTTGAGCCAGCTGGGTCTGGACTTGTTCCCCTCCCTAACTTGCTGTTGACTCAAATTTGATTGTGCACAGTTTTGGATTTGTTTGTTGAGTGATTTTAATTATAAATTGTGGTGGAGGGTAATTTAACATAATCTTCCTTTGTGTCTGCATTCTTTTCCCTCCTGTTCTCCAGAAACAAATGATGATCCTTTGCTGCTCCGTGATTTTGGTCATTGTCCTTGGTTCATTTTTCTACAGCTTCATCAAATAGAAAATGCACGATGCTACCAACAAGCTAAGTCCACGCAGTGGAGGATGAGGCTGAGCAGATGGTCAAAAACAGAGCCGGGGGTGGGTTTATTGTCATTTCAACTAATTCAACATAGAAATAGATGCAGTAGCTATTTGCATAGACTATCAGTTATTTATGAATAGGTTGTGACTACATTCTTAACCTTTTCAGGGTGTTCCACTTGTAAATAAATTTCACTGTAATTTTAGGATTATGTTATATATATGTGGAAATCAGCATTGAAGAATATGCACACTCCTGCTCTGAAAGGTCAGAGAAAACAATCTTTATATGACTCCAGGGTATTTGGATTGAATTTATCTGCCTTAGAGATTTAGAGCAACATTTGCAGCTACTGAATTCATGGAGAGGCATTCAATTCACTGTTCACCAAAAAGTGAGTTCATTCAATGAACTGTTCTTTTAACATATCCATGAACAACAAATGTAAGATGTATTGTATAGCTGTTATACTGAATTGTGTTAGATTGTATAACTGTGCTTATTGAAGTGAAAAATCTGTATATCTGACTTGCAAACTGTCAGGATGAAAGGTAAAACGGTTTTCAATAATATGTGTGTATAAGTCTATGGTTGTGCATGAATTAAGTTGTGTTTTTTGTAAACTAGTATAATTCAAATCAAAAAAAATATTTAACTGGTGCTGGCAATATAGAAATTACACTTGCAAGTCTGCAGTGGCTTCTTCCTTGCACAGCAGCCTTTCAGGTTATGTCAATATAGGACTTCTTATAATGTGGATATGGATACTTCAGTACCTGTTTCCTCCAATGTCTTCACAAGGTCCTTTGCTGTTTTTGTGGCATTGAGTTGTACTTTTTGGGTCAAAGTATGTTCAACTCTAGGAGACAGAACGTGCCTCCTTCCTAAGCAGTATGATGGCTGCATTGTGCCATGGTGTTCATACTCATGTAGTGTTGGCGGAGCTGTAAAAACTTGTCTCGGAGAGAACCAGGAAACACAGGTCATTAAAAAGGTCCCACAAGAACAACAAGAATATTTACAAGAAATACTAGAATGGCCACTTTTCAAGGAAGAAGATTATAAGGAGATAAACAGGCCAAAGAAGATGAGAACGATCCACATGAGCCAGAAGGAACTGCACCTGTGATGGAGATTATCCTGGTGCAGGAAGATGGGTTCATAGAGGAGTTGACTGTAAACCTGTATTCCTCTATCACACCCAGCCCAATGGAACCAGCAGACTCCTGCCAGGAAGGAATGGAGCAGAATGCAGGATACGTGGTGGTGGTCAAATGGGAAGCAGAATTGGATTTTGAGGAAAAAGAGGGAAACAGCAAGAGGAGTTGGAAAAGAGAAACACTACCATTTGAATTTCCTATCTTGAAAGATGTGTCAGCTAAATACTGTGCAAAGCAAACATGATCATAAGTGGCCAGTGTCACAGCTTTTATGGGCTAACAATAGCAGGCTTCTGAATTGTCTGACCATATTCCTTATCATACAGGAACTCTGCCAAATACTGGGTTTCACATATCTAGTCAAAGATCTATTAAACATGGTTAATACAGCATCATAAATGACTGAAATAGCAAACAAACACTATGCATGCTACTAAAATGAAAACAATAGCTTCTTTGTGGACAGTCAGTTAAAATGTGATAGGATATCACACAGCTGCCTGTATTTATGTTTATGTTGTGGAGAAGATGATGTGAAGAATTATCATTATCTATACTGCATACTCCTCACCAGGGTCACCAGGAGAGGGCACTGGAGTCTATCCCAGCTAACATTGGGTGAGAGGCAGGGTACACCCTGGATAGATCACCAGTCTGTCACAAGTGTGAAGAACATAAAACTGTTTATCTGAAAAAATACTGACAATTCTGCTTCATTAAAACACACAGAGGAGGAAGAACACAGGTTAACGGCCACAGGTAACCACTACACTGTCTTTTTTAAACCACCAGATTACAATTTTTTAGCTTACTCTGTCACCTTGTCTTCTAAAAGGGTCCCATGCAACTAAACTGCAAACACAGATATGTTTTACCTTCACCGCCCTCTCTAAACCGCCTTTGCATACTGCTGCGGCTGTAAAATGCTACACTTTTCACCGTCATTCTTTCATCCACACTATGTTTTCCTATTCTTTATTGTGTGGATGCTGTAGCAGCAGCATCAACACTCTTGTTATCCTGTTCTTTAAGTGATCCAATTATTTAGCTATTCTGGTTCCTTCCATACATTTTTTGGCACTTAATAAATTCAGCATAATTTCAGAAAAGCCATTCAGGTATCTAAATGTTCAGCTCTTCAAGGACATTGTATTTTTCTTGTTTGTAATATTTATGCTTTTAAACTATTCAGGTTTTTTCATCAAATTTTGCCCCATTCAAATGAATGGGGAAAAAATTCACATCTTAATAACTTCAGCATACCTTCAGCTAAAAACACAATTTCAATTGTTCCCTATTCAGCAACTCTTCAGCTATTCATAATGTAAACAGCTTTTTGATATCTTTTATGGTTTTTGCATAATGTTTACATTTTTTGTTTCATTACAATAGCCATACTGTGGTGTAGGACTACTCTCTCTCTCTCACAGACACAGACTTGTGTTAGACCCAGTTCTTTAATTGAAAGCCCGAGAACAAAAAACAGAAGAGGACTAGATAAAATCAGTAGAAATTTATTCACAGACTGGTCACATGTATAGCCATACAGCGCTGGGCTCAGAGAAACAGAGCTTCTACAGGAACCCTGTCATCAAAGAGCCCCAAGCTATCATCTGTGGTCACATTCACCTTCTTGGGCAGAGGCCGCACCGTACAGAGGTTGGGCTTTGCATGCATCCTAATCCTATTGGCCCTTGGCGTGAGCAGGCCAACCTCCAGCTTACTGGAATGTGCTACAAGCCAGGTGTGAGTGTTGTGATGTCAGGCGGTAGCTAACAATGAATACTGGACAATTGGTTGTCTGCAGCTGCAGACACCCTGTCTGTCTAGGCTATTACAGGACAAAGCAGACCTTGTGAAAATGCTAAACAGGCTAAGTAATCATCTCAAGTTGTAGGCCCCCTATCTATGCAAACTGTTACATGACATAGCAAAACTTGTAAAATGCTAAGCAAGCCTATGTGAGGATGCAAAACAGGCCATCTGGTTAATTAAAGATGCAGACATTATGTCTCCATAAAGTTCTAGCAGATAGTTCCTACTCAGCAGTTCTTGACAATTATCAATACAGTTGTAATATATATAAGCAAGGAAAATCAAGGTATAAAAATCAACTAAAGCTTATAAAATCCAAATATTATACTTACAAACACACACAGAGTTACACACACGCACACACCTACTTGTTTTTTGTAATACGTGGGGACTGTTCACACACACAAACACACACATTTCTTTCCCTTCTTTTTGAGGCCTGCTGACAACTTCAGCTTTTGATTTCATCTTATATGCAATACTTATTGAACTTTTGCTTTTCATCTTTCATAATTATTCACCTTCCGCAAATGTTCAGCATTGCATCTCATCCTTCAGCTCATTCAACAAAGAACTTCAGCCATTTCTTCTCATCCTTCAGCTGTTTCAGTAATTGATTTCAGGCATTTCAGCATTTTCAGGGCAATACTTCAGCATTACAGCATCCACACGCATTTTCATCAGGAAATGCATTTGTGTAGTTGTGTGGGTGCTGTGTGGATGCTGTGAAGCATCCACACAATAAAGAAACACCATTTCAACCATATTCAACTTGTGAGATATGCAGCTAATGATATTGTAAAAATCTTTTTGATATCTTTTATGGTTTTTGCATACTTGCCATTTACATTTTGTATAGTTTTCCATTGACTTTGAATGGCTCTATTCATTTCCAGTGGCCACACTCAGAATCATGTGACTCCCGCTCTGGCTTCATGTCTGTGTGTTTTTGATCAATTTCCTGCTGGTTTTCTACTTTTATTCTGCCATCCTTAAGCTTTCACACACATATAATACATGAAAATGGTAAAGACAATTGTCAGGAATCCGAATATGCCATTGTTATTACGATTGGATGTACGGTATTTGCGTAAAGTCGTACATTCCAGAGAGAGTGCACAAGACATACAACGCACTTACGGGCTGACAATACAGTCTGTGGTCAGAGCCAGCAAACACATAACATCCAAGGGAATCCAGAGTTTGTAGTCCACAAGAGAAGTCTGATAATTCATACACAGGGCAGCAGTCCGAAACAAGAGGGCAAGGCAGAACAGGTAGGTGTGTGATTGATTTTGATTATTGAGTAGAATTTTGTGATAAATGTGTGATACTGGAAGAAGATCTTTAGTTTCCAGCATAATGTATTCCTCCTGCAAATATTATGATTAACCAATGATTGTTTGCTACATGTTGTTTAAACATGTTGAAAGATATCACCCAGTTCTTCTAACCAGGAACTCAGAGAGACGAAGCGGACCACTTGGATATATAAAAAATAACCGTGCTGGTTTATTCAAAGGATCACAGGTAAAATTAACATTACACGTCCAGGCATCTTCCACCTCCAAACCTGCGCGCAGGCAGCATGGAGGATAAAAGACCCTGAACCCTCATGCCTATACAATTTTATCCCTTGGTTGGGCTAGCCCATGCTACACAGGAACATCAACCGTGACGTCACCTG